CACTCATTGTCATGGCTGGTTCCGGTGGCTGCCTTCTTCGGGTTTTCAACTCTCCTCTTCGACGCCATCTCTAAGATCTGGCTTGGGATTAGCGGCGGAAGCGCGTGTAAATATGAATCAGGAAGCACGAGGGCTGAGGAGGAAGATGAAGTGGCGAAGTGGCAAAGGTGGGAGCACGAAGTGCGGTGGCGCAATTATAAAGCACTCGCCCACTTTTCGCATTCAAGGGTTTTGGGAAACCGCTCCACGATTTGTGCCTCTCCGAATTCTTTGAAGTGGAATGATGGGCCGTTACACGGACTTTCACATAGAATCGTAGCCCATATCGCCCATTTTTCGCCGCAATTTGTTACTGCTCACCGAATATTCGCCGACTTCTCCGCAATCCATTAAGGCTCAGTAACTCCTACTGTACAGCCATTACTCTAGTTTTTTATCCATGATTTGATTTCTCCAAGATTTCCACTTGTGGCTCGGGGACTACGTCATTAATAAGTGTTGGTTCCTCACCACACTGGGGACTTTTTCTATTCACTGTTGTTTCTGACCCTGGCACCACGTGACCACGTCACCTACTATCAGGCTCGGGGACTAAGTGGGCACACTTCACCTTGAGGTGAATGTGCTTTTTAGGGCTTCACCAGGGGACTGGCTGCCTGCTCGACTGGTCTTTTGCTTCTCTTCTACTTTGGACCCTAGCACCACGTGACTATGTCACCTACTGTCAGGCTCAAAGACTAAGTGGGCACACTTCACCTCGTGGTGAGTGTGTTTGCTTTAATCTGGAAGACTCCGTGCCTCCTAAAGTTGAAGAAGAATATCTCCTTTTCTCGTGGTCGGACTCTAAGTGGGCACACTTGGTCCACTACGAGGAAATTTTTTATTTTGAACTTGAGCTCCTTACATCTTTATGGCAAGCCTTACTTGGGATACACTGCTCGGTGACGGTTCATAACTCCTCGGCGATGGTTCATAACTGCTTGATAACTCATCATGGTGGTCGTACTCGGACAAGCTCAAGACGGCATTTCACAATGGCAACAAGGTGCTCGGGGACTAGCTGTGGTGGGTACGACCTCAGATACCCATGGCAAATTACATGGGTTGCGCCCCCCAGGGGTGGTCCAGCCCACAAGACGAAACCTTGCTGAGCACGGCGCTGCTCAGCGTGCCCCGCAAGACACTGGAAAGATATCTTGAAGATACTACGAGATCTATTAGGATAGGTCTGATCTCATGATTCCTGTAATCTATTATTACTTTCCGGTTATCTTCTAGATCTAACTGACTTGTAACCCTGCCCCCAGACTATATAAGGCGGGCAGGGACCCCCTCAAAACACACGAAAGATCATACGATTGCCAATACAATCTAATAGACCATAGGAGTAGAGTATTGCGTCGCACTGATGACCCGAACCTGTCTAACTCTTGTGTCTCTGTTGCCTTCTTGTTCTCAATTACACGCATCTCTGCCGATCAATCTACCTTCGTCGGATACCCCTCGGAGGACTGCCGATGATATTCTGTCGACACCTTTGTATTCCACCTCCCGTTAGTCGGCCTAGCAGGACCTTGTTGCTATAGGAAACATACTCTATCTATGTTTTCTTTAGTAATATCCCTAGAATTAAACAATAGAAGACAAAGCTTACCGAAGCTAGAACTAGAAGACTTTAGCAATCTCCTCTATGTTCCTATTATCTAGCCTTGATTGTGAAGTTGGGTTAAGCTAGATTTGGTTATTCTCACACATGTTTCCTTGAGTTCGATATAAAACTGGGTACTCCCAGTGAAGTGCTATATCGGTATAATATTCGTGCGCTTGTGGATTATTCTGTGTGGATTAATTTATACCAACAGAGTGTGAGATCAAGATTCTAATGCATTGTATTGAGATATTTTTGAGTGGCACTAGAAGATCATATTGCAAGCAAGTTTGATTATTACTCTTGGAGGTTGTCCTCACTTAGATGGTATTGGAGCTTGGGGACTTTATCGAAATGCAACAACGAAGATTATGTTCGTGCTCCAGAGAAGACTTGTGAGGGGGATATTAAGCTCATCCCCGTCGGAAGAGGCAAATGACAACTCTAGTGGAATTGAGGTTTTGAGAGTGCCTAGTTGTTCTATCTGGCTCGAGATCAAGCGCTTACGGTACTGTGACAACCTTATGGGGTTGGAAGCTTGATAAAGGAGTTGTGGACCAAGGGCTCACCTTAACATGGACTAGGGGTGACCAGCAAGTCACCAATACTACGAGAATACATCGTGTGGTATCTCTTGTGCTCATTTCAATTCTTGTACTTACTTTGACTTACTTACATTCTTAGAATTGAACTACTTGCACTTGTCACCCTAGGAAGCAAACCTCTAGTTAGAAGCTGTATCATTAGGGTCTCTTGTATTACTAAATAAATTTCCACTAGTGTCTTTGGTTTTTGGTGGTCACCGTCTCTTCACCCCCTCTAGTCATTTCCTAGATCCTTTCAATGTTGCTTACTTTCCTCAATTTGAATTGCTTACTTTTCACTCTAGGTTGCAAGCCCCACTAGTTAGGAAGTGGTATCTTGGGACTCTCTTGTGTAGCTAATTAATTTTGCCTAGCGTCTTTGTTTTTACCGTATATTCACCCCCTCTAGCTAGTTCCTTAGATCCTACAAGCGCCACCAGATGGAGCGTCGGAGGCTTAGGGCACCAGAGACGACAACGATGGCCGCCATTGGGACACTAGTGAGGAATGACTCATCAACGACCATCTTGGACAATAGGCCCATGTTTCATGGTCCTCTTCAATCTAGGTGGAGATAAGTTTGGGTCCAAGGCTAGGAAGCCCGATCTGTGGTGGAGGTAGGTGATCTGGACAAAGGAGGGATGGGTGAGGTCGTGGTGCGGAAGAAGAGCTTCGTGCGAGAAAGGGCACATGAGAGGTGAGAATGGTTGTATGGTGGATGGATACTTTATTTGTTGATTAGGCCCATATTATAGTGCATCTAGGCTCAACATTATGTTGGCAAGAAAAACATTGTGGACCACTAACATGGAACCCATCTATAAAAACTACTCTGGCAATATTGTTCTTGTCCATGCCCTAAGGATGCCTCCAACAAGGACAACGTTGCTAGATGACTAGGCTTGGGATTGATATGGAGGGGAGAGAATTAGAAAAAAAAAGTCGCTAGCGGTTGTCTCATTGCTAGCTTGGAGGCGTGACCCCGTGCCATTGCTTTAGACCTTTTTTTTTGACAAGGTTTTCTTTACCAACGGTTTCACCTAACGAGACAAAGAACTCAGTAGGTGGCTTCACCTTCTTAGTAAAAAAATGCTTCTCTCACACAGTTGTTTCATGAGTTAGCGTTTGACGGGGCTTGACAAAAAATCAAAAAAGCCGACGCTAAAGTCCATCAAGAAATCTTGCTATAAAGAACCTTACTTTGGTTGTTATTGGCAAAAAGAAGCATAGAGTTTTTAGTTCTTTTGGTAATTGGGCCCTTATTCAGTTGCTCTAGGTCAGACAATGACGTAGTTGGTTGAGAATGCTGTTAAGAGCAGTCAAATGTGATATATGCGCGTCCTAATCGTCCAAAGTTAAACGCATAGCATGAAATGGATCTAGCAGCTGACAATCTCATTCTCTAGTAACCCAGACATGCCATCTTTTACATCATGAATCAAAAGGCTTTGCCAATCTAGATAAGCATGTCTTTTTTTTCTCCGTTGTCCGCGTATACTTCAAAATGTTCGGTGTTTCAGTGCCTTCAATGGCCCCTTTTGAATTCTGGCGTACTATCCTTTGATGAGTCTAGTGTTTGATGAGAGCTGTTCACACATGGTAAGCGCGTTGTTGTTTGGCAGAAGCATCATGCTAATCAACTTGGTGTTTTCAATCCTTTTTATTTTATTTATTGATGTTTTGAATTTGGGGTAGGGGCTGGTAGCGGCTTTTTGTTCGTGTGTTTTGCGGTGGAAAATGGAATGGTGGTGGTGGATGGAGAAGTAAAAAGGTGGGAAAGCGTAGTTATGACTTGTCTCTCTTTCTCACGAACTCCGAGCCAAAAAGCGTCCCCACACCCCTCAACCCCGTCTTTATTGCTACCCTAGCTGATACTAGCAGTAGGGTGATGCAGTGCACAAAACTGGTCCGCGCGCGCGCGCTCTCTCTCCACACACCACACCCGTGCTTGTGCTTGTGCGCGTAGCAAATCTCTTTCTTGCTTGCTCTCCCCCTTTCTTTATTTGGTTCGCCTTTATTAATTTCCATTTCCCGTAATTTCCTCCTCCTTTTCCCACCTTGCTTCCTCTCCTCGCTTTGCTCTCTCTCACATGCACCTAGGCAGCACGCAGCAGCAAGGCTAGGCTCGAGGCTCCCATCCATCTCCCATTGCATGCCAAACAAGCAAGCAAGAGATCAAGAGGAGCAGTGAGTGAGTGAGTGGCGTTTGGTGTGAAGTGAGGACTTGGAGGAGGAAGGAGGAGGACGAAGCGGGTCATGGCATGGTGATGGACCTGCTGCTCCACCTCCCTGCCGATCTAATCACTTTGCCCCTAGGTACCGTACAGGCGTGCGCGCGGGCATCAGTCACCTCCCCCTCCTAACTCCCACCAAATCTCCCTCCCTCCCCTGCTTTCTCCCTCTGTCTCTCTCTCTCCTAGCTGCTTTCTTGATTTTTTATCCGTCTCCTAGCTCCAGATTTTAAAAATTATCTTTTGTGAGCAACTTATAGCTAACTACTAGTAGCTGAGACTAAGGGTGTGCTTTCTCGCTTAATCTCCATGTTACCGCTAGTGCTCTAGTCGTAGCTAGCCTTGCTGAGCCCCTTGCAGTGCTGGGAGGAGAAGGACAAGGTCTCTGATCAGCTGAGCTTGTCTGGTCAAAGCTGAGAGCCCGGTTGTGCTGCGAGTCCAAGCTCGACAGGACCACTGCCACTGTGAAGCACAGCGGCAGCGGCAGCGGCGACAAGACGAGGAGGCGGAAGCTGCCAAGCGGATAGATCTACGCAAATGGAGACCAAGGACGTGTCGCCGCTCCCCGCCACCACCGCCGCCGCCGCCGCCGCCGCCGCGGCGCCCGTGCCTGCACCGGCCTCTCAGCCGCCGCCGCCGGCCCCTTCTTCTATGGCGCCGCCGCAGCACCAGCACCAGCCGCCGCCGCCGTTCGCGCAGCAGGCGGCCCCGGCTTCGTCGCCTGCCGCGTTCATGCCCGGCGGCATGCGGCTCTCGTTCGACCAGATGTCTGGGAAGGCGCCAGGGGAGCAGCACCACCACTCCGCGCCCATGCTGTACGCGGCGCCACCGCAGTCCGCCGCGGGCGCGGGCGCGGCGGGCGCACCGGGGGCCAATGTGCTGGGCATGGGCGAACTGATGCGCAAGAAGCGCGGGCGGCCGCGCAAGTACGCGCCCGACGGGAGCATGGCTCTGGCGCTGGCCCCCATCTCCTCCGCCTCAGCCGGCGGCGCCGCGGCTCCCGGACAGCAGCAGCACGGCGGGTTCTCCATCAGCAGCCCCCCGTCCGACCCCAACGCCAAGCGCCGCGGCCGGCCCCCCGGCTCCGGCAAGAAGAAGCAGTTCGAAGCCCTGGGTACATGTTTTTCTCCCGTACTAAAGCCCTGCGTACATGCTTTCTTGCGCGCGTCCTATCTCACCAGTGCTGTGCTCGTTTCTTCGCTCGTGCAGGTTCTTGGGGCATCGCCTTCACCCCTCACATCCTCACCGTCAAGGCCGGCGAGGTAAGATTCACAGATCTTGGTTCAACTTTCAAACGTTTTGCTGCATCCTTGCGGTTGCTGGTCGTAAATGGCGTAGATCTGCGAGTTCGCGCGTCTCCTCTGAGTGCGCATGTCATGTGGTGGCTTCTTGCCACAAGGCCAAGTCACCGGTGCTTGCTGTGACCTTTGTGCTCTGTTCTGCCATGCCGTTGGGAAGCCCGGCAGGTTGTGAGCTCGCGTGGCGTGGGTGTTCGTCAGATTCCCGGCACGGCTGCCAGTTGACCGGGCCCACTGTCAGTGGTGGCAAGCTGGAGTACTAATGGGTGATGCACTCGGTGTCATTCCGGATTCTGACTGATAGTCTGGTGTGCTGCCAGTACCATGAATCCTGCGGTGTACGATGAGGGGCTCCAGGCAGCTGGCACCTTTTGGTTGTGCAGTCCTCACTCTTGACTCTTGAGTGAGGTGAGGCCATGGAGCATGGACTGTGCAGGGTAGCTGGGTGAAAGGATTGCTTATGCTGATCAAATTACTCCATGGTAGCAAACATTAATACATTATATATTAATTAATTGCCTCCTAATATCGTTGTGTTGGTGAATCATGATGGCTGATCGGATTTGGTAGCATGGATGCAACATACTCCCTCTGTCCCTAAATGTTTGTCGCCACGATTTGCGTCTCGATAACTTTGACTCGATTTGCGTGTCGCCACGATTTGTGCAACATTTCTATCTCCAAATAAATAAGATTCAAATATCTATCCAATGATACTAATTATGTATCATAAATATTAATATTTTTTAATATATATTTAGTCAAAGTTGTTTCTCGGGGGAAGCGAAAACGACAGATATTTAGGGACTGAGGGGAGTATTACTTTACTGGTGTTTGCTAACCTTATTATCAATTAAATTGATGATCTCGAGTGGTAACCAAAATTTACTTTTAACAGTTGTTTGAATTGGATTAACTGTGTGGCCTGTGCATCTTGATCAACCAATCTGGAACTGAATTGGATATTTTCATCTCTCTTCTTCAACATTTGCTTGCAGCAAAGCTGCATAGAATTCTTCTGTGCAAGCTGTTAGCTAGCATGGTGCAAGGCCAAGCCATGCATTTGGTCGTGCCTTTTTATTTCTTTATGGCTATGAAGTTGTTCATTTATTGCCAGTGGGTCAAAAACTTGAATCTCTGTTCTAATGTCTGCTTCTTGCCTGACAGGATGTTGCTTCAAAAATAATGACATTCTCACAGCAAGGCCCTCGCACAGTCTGCATCCTTTCTGCGAACGGTGCAATTAGTAATGTTACACTTCGGCAGCCAGCCACATCTGGTGGACTAGTTACTTATGAGGTATGGTGTTCTTACTGCTTTGGAGCAAGTGGATGTATACCTATCGTTTTTGAGAATGGTATCTGAATTTCATGAGATTTTCTCCAATCTTCCATAGAATAAGTCACTGATCATCTTGGACTTTGTGTTGATGAGAATGCCACCTGGTAGGTGGGAAACATTGGCTTTCAGTTAAGGAAGGAGTGTATTGTTGTTAGTTCTTTTTCCTGACTTAGGTCATCTGAAATGGATTCACAAGCACATCAATTTACTTTCAGTTCACCCACTAATTCTTTTTAGCCTAGTGTTTGGATTTTAATTGGGTTGCAACTTTGATGCGAAGGTTGAATACTTGGATGCCATCTGGCAAAGTGTTTGGTCTAGTTGACACATGTAACATACCACCTTACGAACAACAGCGTTTGAATCTAACATATATGCTCTGAGCAATTAACTTTACAAGTTATGCCTGCTGTTCATTGCTCCACCTGACAATGCTATGTACATTTTCTTCTGGCAGGGGCGCTTTGAGATCATCTCGCTATCTGGTTCTTTCCTGCTTGCGGAGGATGGTGATACTCGCAGCAGGACTGGTGGCTTGAGTGTCGCACTTGCAGGATCTGATGGCCGAGTTCTTGGAGGGTGTGTTGCTGGAATGCTTATGGCTGCAACTCCTGTTCAGGTCCGATCAACATGTAGATTTTCTTCCTCACCCCAGCTGACATCTGTTCAATTGCTTTATATCACTGATCACTTGGTATTTCTACCTGTGTCTGATTGTTCATCAGGTCGTGGTGGCTAGTTTTATCGCAGAGGGAAAGAAATCAAAGCCAGCTGAAGCACGGAAGGTTGAACCGATGGCTGCCCCTCCACCACAGATGGCTACCTTTGTGCCAGCTCCGGTGGCCACCAGCCCTCCATCGGAGGGAACATCTAGCGCATCATCTGATGACTCTGGCAGCCCAATCAACCACAGTGCGATGCCGTTCAACCACTCTAGCCAGCATCAGCACCCTCACCAGCACCAGCACATGCCGCCTGCCTATGCATCCGGGGGTTGGTCCCTCTCAGTGCACCAGCAGAATAGGCATGATTCTGACATGAAGATGATGTCGAACTAACAGTGCTCGGCACCCCATTTGTTGGTTGGGCTGGAGAGGAAGGAAGCTGCTGATGGTTGGTACTGCTGCTATGAAACGGTCTTCTTGCGTTGTCTGCTCTGATCAGTGACGTCGTGTTGCTCTGATCAGTGACGGCGTGTCTGCTATAGCTAAGCTAGCTAGGAGAATTAGGGTTCATGGTCTCACCTGCCGTTGTTCCCCTGAGTAAGATTAATTTAATTTGAATTAGCCGCTGTTGTAATGCTGTAGCCGGTGTCTTAAAGTTACTTATCAGTCAGTCCCTAACGCGAGTTGTGATGGTTGCCTGATGAGATCTTCACCTTCTAGGCTAGTCAAAATACCATTTCTCTAGTACTATGAATCATGAATTTACTTGGATACTTCGGTTTAATTCAGGAATTTGATCTTATTCTGTTTTGTTTTGTTCTATTTTGTTCTGCTGCTGATCATGTATGCATTCTAGCTGGAAGTATTTAAGTGATGAAGAGTGACTGCCACGAGGCAATCTGCGCTGCTGCTACGTCTGAATGAGGATTTGTTTGAGCTAGAAGTTTGCCTAAAGTGGACAGCAGATAGCACTTCATGTGAAGGAGATTGCTCGACTGGCAGTTCGCAGATTGGTTCCTATCATTATCCTTTTGGAAGATGCAGATTAGAGATACAGATAGGGTCAAGAGAAATTTAGCCTACGGCAACAAACCTTAATTGTAATTCTCTGTTACGAACCTACGTGGCCATCAATCCACAAGATTAGCACCCGATACAATTTGCTCAGCACACGGAGAGTAATTCCGGGATACAATTATCTAGAACCTTATCTACAAGGTTCTAGGAGTCGGAATAAGCTAGAGCACTGGGTCCTTGGCTCTTTGTCCCCCTGCCTACTGGCTACTGCCAGGTCATCTGTTTGTTCCACAAGATAGCTTGTATCGTGTAGAGAAGCTAATGGTATTCTTTGTACAAGGCTCAAAACTAGATTGTTTTAGATATATTGTCCAAGTACAAGGCATTTACAACGAACAGCTTTATCTAAAAATTTACAACAAATAACTTGTTGACATTGATTTTGTCTGTACCATAGGAATTTTTTCGGTTCTCGATCGTGTTAGTTCAAAGTTCTCGAATCTGATTACAAGTTAAAACAAATAGGGTCATAGTTATTATGCTTAAATCATTTTTTAATACTATAGCTTAGGAATGATATCAAGAATATGCAAAGTTTCATGTTAGGAAGATCAATGACTCATATAAACTACTTAATGAAAATTATCCTCAAGAAACCTAACGAGAAACTTTTTTTAAAAAAAAAGTAGAAATACTTCCTTTGTCTAACAAATCACATAAAGTTCACGAATTAATAAGGTTCTCAAAAGAATCATTATCACAATTAAAATGATTTAGAAGTGTCGGGTTGTAACCCGGGTGTCTCAAGGCATCGAGTAGTAGGCAGTCACATGCGCCCACAATTTACCCGATAGCATGGAAAGTCCGAACGACCGAGGCCCAGCTAAGCCAAGCACGCCAAGGTTGGGGTCGGCCACGGCCCCTACCAGCCACCTCAGTCATACGGCGCCCGCAAGACACACGACCTCTTCTCCGTCACAACCCCCCGGAAGGGGTGGAGAGAGGTCGCGCCTAGCTAAACGTGCTTGCTCTGACAGGAGCAAGCACGCCGGACTGACCCCACAAGGACCGAGGGGACAGCGGTCACCTCGGCCCGGTCAGACACCATCCCTGTGCCATGCCGCTCCGACGAGACTACACCGCACTACGGTGGCAACAGGTACGATACCCACCGTCCCAATACGGACCGACTAGACACTTGTATGATCCCACCCACTACGGGATGGGACCCACGACAAGGGGCTCGACAGAAGGACATCCAGACCAGTAGAGTGCTCCTACCCCAATGATCGGGGTCGTGGCCCTCGGCCCCGCAAAGCGACCAAGTGATCGACGACCCAGGGCAAGTGCCTACTTTGGGTACGACGTCCCTAGGAGCCTGGAGACGATGACGAAGGCCACGACAGACACCGTGTTCCACAGGACGACTAACGAACCACCAACGAGGCTACAGTGCCGCCACGGCCACCACAGTAGCACCACGTCACGCCCTGCCACAACGTGACTAGAAGACCATGACAATAGCCATGACCTGACGTGCATCAGAAGACGACGTACTTGCAAGCCAAGTTAGCTAGGACCTCCCTCGGGCTGTCGACCCTTCGGTCGGGAGAATCTCCTCTTTGTACAAGCCCTAGCCCCGATCTGTATATAAGGACCGCTAGGGCAACATGGTTCACATCCTCTATAATTTCATTCATTCACCATTGTAGTAGAGCTCCTAGAGCTTTCCTTCGGGCAGCCCCTCGCCTAGCATAGGTTCCACCACCTCTTTCACCATTCTTGCACTCCGTATTATAAGAACTTCTGAGCATTCAAGCGAGGAACACGCACTCGATCATCTCTGAGACTGGACGTAGGGCTCCGCCTGAACCAGTATAAATCCTCGTGTCTATTGGATGCTACCATCATCTTTCTAGAAGCAGTAGCGACAATCGTATAAGTTTACTAGTCACGATTACGAAAACACCTGCAAGCGATTAAGCGCGCGCGGTGGGGGACGATCAGACACTCGTTTGTTGAGAAGAAGCGATGGCTCCTCGCACTGCCGGTGAACTCACTGGTGGAATGGCCCACGGCAGCCACATCCGCTGCAAAGCTATGAGTTCATCAGCATCAAAGGGCTAGCACCCGCGTCCGCTTGCGGCTACGACCCAAACCTCTGCCACGGAGATCCAGAGCACGTAGCCCGCCGTGGACACACTCTCGAAACTACCTCCGATGGCAGCATCCTGGAGTTCACCTGCCCAGAGGGGCCAGTAACCTCACTCATCGTCGGCCACGGCCAGACCTCCCGTTTGAGAAGCCAAAGGCCCATGGCTCGCAACGAACTTGCCCAGGGAATGGCCTCAACTGGCCAATCCTTTTGGGGAACCACACCGTTAACCGCACTAATGGGCCGACGCCCGTGCCCACCCTCAGTTGCAGCCTGGACCTCCATCCCATAGGTCTGGATCTCGTGGTCCACGGTGGACCCTCCCTCAGAACTGCCCTTGGGGGCTGCATCCCAGAGTGCACCCACGTGAGGGGCCCAGTGCCCTCTCTCATTACTGGCCATGGCCGAGACTTCCACCAGGGAAACCAGGCGGCCATGGCTTATGGTGATCTCACCCAACGAATGACCTGCGGTGCCCACATCGTTTTCGGGAACCACGAGATCGCCCGAACCGACGGGGCAACACCCGTCATCAGCTTTTACCCAGTCCAGACTCGCCGTGTGGCAAAACTAGGCCCTACGATAGAACTACTCCCCGAGCAGCGTCTTCGCCATCTGCAGAACGCGACAAGACAGGGCACGCATGAATGGCAAAATCACCCGCCACCACGCTGCGTCGTTCGTGATCAAGCGGCCAATCAATGTCACGCCACGTGGTATCAAGCCTGGAACTAGGATCCGATCCTGGGCAACGAGCAAGCTACGCGACACACCTCGGTGAACTGTAAGCCCTCACTCGAAAGCGCGTGCATCCGAGGAAGCGGGCATCCTGAGCACACCGCACGCCGCAACGAGCGGGTCGAACCGTGTTGTACTCAAATCCAGCTCCCGCAGCGACATGTCATAACTGCTCTCCCTCGAAAGCGGCCACCACACCCGGAGGCAGAGACAGGCGACAGCAACGTCGTTGAGCTAGAAGGACTCAGGCACTGAAACACACGAGCCCTCTCGGCCAGAAGCTACTACACGCCGAACATGAAGAAGCCATCCTCGGGGGCTCGCGGGCCCCTCGAGGACGTCAAGCCGGCAAGGACCAGCCTAAGGCCGCCTGAGGGGCCGATCCACGCCAGCCACGACCATTCCAAGCGGTAAAGAAGCATCCCCATCAGCTTGCAGCACTGGGACTACGATGACTCCATCACGAGCAGACGCTCGGGGGCTTGACGCGCCCCGAGCTACGGCAACCAGTTCATCGCCAGCTTCTGGTACATCGGTCGGTCACATCCACCTTGACTTTAGCCTCATCACCCAAGCACGTCCACATACATATATAGGCTCATCAATAGCCACGCAAGCCTAGGACTGACCCGCAAGGTGAAACCTGATAGCACGACTCCCATACTTCATGTCCTAGTAGCACTCAACTCCCGAATGGCTCGATCCAACCTGCACCCACGGCTAGACGTGACTCACTCACGACGGCTACATTCATAGGCACACACACATGATCCATGGCGCAGCACCGTTGGTCATCATCCTAGCGATCCATCCATCTTGAACTCTTTTCCAACAATGCCCCATGCCGTGATGAATCGATGACCCGAGTCTCGACTTCTCATCAGCACAAACGAGGAACTCGCTCGCTCAAAGGGAAAGGGGCAGGAGGGAAAGGGCCACGAGCCACCTGCTCACTTTCTTCTCGCATCAAGCCAGATCTGTGACCTACCCTCGATGTCACGCCGCTCCAACAGGGTACGCACCGTTCTAGCCTCGCGGGCCAACCCCTAGGCTAAAATACGCACCTACAAGCACGGGACCAAAGGGGGCGAAGCACATTCCAATTCGAACGAAAAGGAAGGTGAAATGGTAGCCAAATGACAAAAGAATGCACTGATCACCTATCCTCTGCGCAAAAAACCAAACATGTTCATTACAAATCAGCCACCCATAAAGCCCTTGGAGTCCTTAACAAAACTTTACACCCCGAAAGATTGATGCTGACGGTGAATGCTCACGCCTGACATCTTGCTTGCAAGGGCCTCCACGCCTTGGGCAGCAACACTCTTGATGGTGAGGACCTCTCTCTCAGACCTCCTTGGAGCATGCCCTTGCCCAACGACATCAAAATCGACACCGTTATAGTGTGAGCCGACCGACGTCAAAGCAGCAAGAGTGCCACGATGAAATCCCTTGGAAATTAGGGAATCCACATGGAGGCGGG